CCCCAAAACCCCAAAACCCCAAAACCCCAAAACCCCTTGAGATTGCCATATATTTTAATAAGTTGGAATTATAAATTATTGAATTAATTAAATATGCTAGCCACAAAGACAAAATAAGTTTTATAACTATTAGTTCCTTCAACTAGAAGAGCATTTGGCTATAGTTAAAATGAGCTACGTAATTTGCAATCCAAGATTGATAGACAACTTAAAGTCTTGGACATGTTTACCGAGAATAGAGAGTTCAACTATGAACCCCCTCAAATGACATATGATAAAGCAACAGGTGAAATCAATATTATAGAGCGTAAAGTTGAGAAGAAAGCTACTAGAATTATCAAGAATATGGATGATATGCGAAAAGAGAAGACAGAGATCTTAAAGGAATTAGGTCTTGACGAGAATGGTCGTGCAGTAGACCCCAACGAGCCAATAGACTAATATGCTGAGAAATTAAGAATAGCAACTAACAAAATGAAGGAGGAGTTTGATATTGATCCTAGCAATTTTTATGTGTTTTCCAGAGACAGCATGAGAGTGGATGTTGGTTTAATGATTTAAAGACCTCCTATCTTTTTACATTTCTCAAAGAGAGATGCTGAGTTCATGAAGTTCAAAAATGATCTTATGAATGAATACTATATGAACTTAAAGCCATTTGCAGATGAATTTGAGGAGCAATCAAAAATGAATGAAAATGTGCTAGCTTAAAATCCATATGCAAGTAAAATGAATATGGATAACTATGCCACTCATCAAATTATTGATGAGAAAACAGGAGAGATAAAAGAATATTGCGGAGCTAGTAAGCATTTCTCAAGAGTAGATCCAAACATTGATGACAAGAGAAGTCTTCACTTTGCTGGAGAGGATAGAACTTACCTCATTTTTAAGAATAAATATACCAAAGAGTGGGAATTTCCAACTGGAAAAATATACTTTGGTTAAACTTTCCTTAAGGCAAAATAAAACTTATTTACTCAACTATCGAATGATGCTTGGAAAGTTAGATACATAGGTGGTCACCCTATGGTAGCTACTATTAGAGAATTTACTCCAGCAGAGTAAAGAGATTCTCTCAATCATGGATTAAGAGGAGTCAGGTCATATTTCTTCCCAGCAAATCATTATAGAGGGTTTCCTGAATATTAGCTAGATCAAACTGACTTTGAGGACTTTGCTTGGGTACCAAAGAGGCTGCTAAACGAGTACTTTGATAGAGACTATTATGAAATCTTTATTAGAGCATGTCTAACACGATGAAACTATAATCGATTCCTGCTTTCCAATAAAAAGAGAACAATTAATTTTATTTAAACATACTTCACTTTTCTATTTAATGTCAATTGATGGGGTTTTGGGGTTTTGGGGTTTTGGGGTTTTGGGG